GCCCGTACAACAATACGGGCTGATGAATTATTGTCAACATCAGAATGGGCTAGAACCTTCCGCAGAAATTTCATACGTATATATACATATATATACATATATATATTTCTATCTACAAGGCGGCATCTTCATAACACGAGCAAAGGATTTTGATAGTCTTGTAGGTTCAGTCCTAAAGAACGTGGCGAGATGGAGAACGAGATACATCGTGGCAGATGCTTCGTTACGCACTGTGGTGCATAGGTACATGAGTCACCGTTGTATTAATTAAACAAACTCCGAGGGCGCATAGTTCCTCGTTGAAGATGCACGATCGCGTTCTAATCCCCTTTCTTTCTCTCCTTGTCGCGTGAAATGCACAATTTTCTCGTTCAATGTGTTTTCACTTTTCAAAGTAACTTTTTTTCCTTTTATTTCTTCTGGTCTCTCATTCTCATCTTTTTGTTATTAACTCCAGTTATTGTGGTTTCGTTGATCCTTGCAGCAGTATTTTTCCTATGTTTATATATTCTATATTATCTGCTGTGCAAAATGTGTAAAGACACTTTCTTTGTGTATATTTCTGTTAATATGCTAATTGTGGGTTTCTGTATGATATTTTTATATATTCAAAGATATACAAGTTTGTGTAAAATATTCAAAATATACAATGAGAACTTGTTATAATTTTTTAATCTCTATTTAAATTCTACTAGTTCAACAGACGTTCCTATAAAAATATAAATTTGGATAAAAATCTGTAGTCCAATTATGTATATTATTGTATATATTGTTATATATTATTTTCAATTCAATTTTATTATTTTTTTCATTTTATTTCAATTCAATTTAATTTTATAATGTCTCCGTCATTTTCTTGCTCACTGAATTTTTCTTGATAATCATTTTCTATGTCAAACAACATTTGTAAATATTATAATAATTAACACTTCTGCGGAAACTGGATTTATGCGAAAATTAGGCCATAAATACTTATTTCTTTGTAATTAATGTACTACTCAGAGTGGAATGATGAACTTTTTCATATACTCAAATATAGAGCAAATATTAAAATTACATTGTACAAGTATAAAAGATGAAATAATAAATTGTAATAATTAAACGAACTGAATTTTCATTCTTTATACTCTGTTTCTTACAAATATACGAAACTAAGTCAATTTCGCCCGAATTTACTTATTCGTAGTTCTACACAAATTTCATACAAGGATTAAATTAAAGAAGAACTAAATATTATTATTAATCGAAGGTATTTCTAACGTGCAGAGTATTTTTCGGTAAAGAATTGAAAATTTGAAACAACACGAATATACATAATTAGCAATCACTGATTTATCATTCGAAGAATAGATTTTTAAGGAACAGATTCCAGTTGCCATACAGTATTCGAGTTTAAGAGGGTACGCGTACGAGTGTATGCTAATTTCGTTAAAACGCGTGTGGGGTAGATTAGGTTTACACTGATACTTGCAGGGGTTATCATGTAATTTAAATTAATGACACGAATGAAACACGACCATCTCATTGTGTTGTATATTTCTGCGTTATAACTATCACAGAAGGAGCTTCCTTTTTCACAAATTTTATATTTGTACCAAATTTTTTGCTATCTGTTTGCACGTAAATTCCAAAATCCGCTAATTTTTTACCATTCAGACACAAAATTAACGGAAAGACTGACATTTCTTAAATTAAATTAAACAAAATATGATATTCTACGTTCAATGTTGCAGTGTTTAACGTCCAATGTCAACTGCAGAGAATAAAATGAACATCCGTTTCACTAAACTATCATTTAATAATATAAAAGAAACTTAAGAAGTATAAAAAGATACTTTGATCTTCAGTGCTTGAATTTTTTGTTTTATATAATTCTTGAATTCCATTAGATGTTACAGGAATCTATTAAATTCTTTGAAATATCCTGCTGATGTACAATGTCGTAGAAAAATACAGCAAAGTGTGTTGATTTACTATTCTAAAAAATATAAAGACTAGGAACGTTAGTAGAATGTTGGTTACCAGAAGATAAAATTTGTCACGACAATACACCAGTTAATGTAGAAAGTTCAAGAGGGATATTATACTTGAAATTGAATGTCATTATCTACATTAACTGGTGTATTGTCGTGACAAATTTTATCTCCTCGTAACCAACATTCTACTAACGTTCCTAGTCTTTATATTTTTTAGAATAGTAAATCAACACACTTTGCTGTATTTTTCTACGACATTTTACATCAGCAGGATATTTCAAATTAGACTTATCGACAAACAGAGATTTTACAATCCTTGAAACTGCACTGCTCGTTCTATACAAGAAATATTATTGACATATGTAGAAGTTGTTCGATTTGTCCATTTTATGTATGAATTTCATGATATAATATTACAATATAATAACAATAATAATAATTACCCTATAATAATATAACTTTATATAGTATATATAAGTAGTGTGTACCATTATAGTAGATTTATATTAATATTTGACACATATCTTTTTTTGATTAGTAATCGTCGATGTTGAAGGGGTGAAAACAACCCTCAAAGTTGGGGCTCTGGAATATATTTTAAATATATATATATATATTTTATATATATACGTATGTATATACTTTATAATTTATTATTAGTATATATATTATATATATATATATATATATATATATATAATATATATAATATTTTAAATATTATATATATTTATATAATATATATAATATTTTAAATATATATTTTGTCTGAATATCTCGAAAATTATTGAAGATACAGTTTTTGTGTAAGCTGATGGAATTAGTGTTTTTTTTTTAACGACAAATTTAACGATACATTTGTTCAAACAATATATTTAAAAAACCGTAGATTTTCTTAAATATTTGTATATGAAAACCAGGGATAAACTGGAATTTTGATTTTTGCATTACAAAAAAAATTTATTATTATTTTCAAATCTTTCTCGCTGGACGTGCAAAGCAGAGTACAAATTTCATCAAAATCGGTGGTCGGACACGTGCAAGTGTAATAAGCCAACTTTCACCATCCATAAACGAGCTGAATCTTAAAACATACCGAATTCGTAACACAACACCTGCAACACCTAATAATGCTAATTTTAAGACGCGAGAATTATTACTAGAAATTAAACGCGCGTACCCATAGCCACTTGTTCTCACAATTCAACCCCGTCAAGTGAACTCTAACATTCTCGCTGAAACCAGTCGATCCCCTAATCTTCGGCGTGTCTCGAAGAAACAACGAAGACGCCACCGCTTGGCGGAATAAAAAGAGGAAGGAACAGAAGGATTCGACTGGAGGACCAAACAAAGAGTAGTGTGTGCGTGGACGCGTCGGGGGAGGGAGAAATAACGCAGCTCGTGAAACGGGCTTAGGAGAAGAGCTGATCCGACTTCGGATCGGGCCACGGCGTTTCCCTTGGTCGCTTGACCTCGTCGAGTAATAAGAATAAATGTGATTCTATTACGGGTTCAATTGTTACTGCGGCAGATAGGCCGGTTCTCCGATGCCCTCGGCCAAAGAGGGTAGATGCTCGCGGCCGATAACACGGCCCAGGATGATTCTACCTGCGCCGATCGCCGCTTTCTCGATCGTGACAGCCATCGATATCGATATTCCGATGGCCTGGACAATTGTTTGAATCACAATTGCCCATCGTAGATCGTCCGTTCTGATCAAGTTCGAGTGTTACATACGAACGTGTTAACTGCTATTGAAGCGTTATTTGTAGAAAACACTGTGATTATCGACGATCGATTTTCAAAAGTTTCATCCAAACTGCAAAATTTTTAAAACTGCCGTTTGAGATGGTCGAGTTGTTTTTTTTTTTTTTTACGGTTAATATATTTGTAAAATGCAAATTCTTTGACTGAACTAAACAAGTTGAACACGTTTTTGTTCGTTGTGAAAGTTTCCCAGACAAGTATGTTTTTATACTTTCAATAAACCTGTCTCTTTTTGTAATTATTCATATTTGAATCATGGTTGGTGATTTTTATAATTTTCATAACTGTGAAATTTTTAAAATGATTCAGTTGTCGTGCACGTGTTTCTATAAAAAGACACAATTTTTCAATTTTGGCACTCACAATATTTCCCACAAATACTGTTCAATTGATATGATCATGCTAACGAAGAAGTTCATTCAGTTGTAGGAAATCAAAATGTGCTTCTCGTACAGAGAAATAATTATATTATAATTATATTATAATTTTTAATAAATAATATAAATGATATAGAATTGTGGAAGAAAATTTGATCAAGTTTTGATTAAATATTGCTGGCTAATACTATGTATCTGTAATTAGTTTTATCACCTATTTTGCAGATTGCTTTCAAATAATTTCAATATTAGATAACACAATACGAATTCATTGAGAAAAATATTGACAATATATACTTTAGAAACAATTAAGGTACTTGTATAAATCAATTATTTTACAGATAGTTGTTACTTCCAAATAACTCTAATAACATGTGTGATATAAATTCAATCAAAAAAAGTTGCCAACATACAACATAATTTATTTGTAATTTATAAATCAATCCATTTCACAGACAGTTATCACTATCAAATAATTCCATTGATATTAAACGATGTAACATAAATTCGATCAAAGAATCGTCAGCAGTATTCACCTTACATTTTTAAAAACAATTTGATACATTCGACAAATAAAAGAGACAAATGCTACTATACATTCTTTAAAAAGTGTCGTCCGTTGCTGCTTCGTACAAAAATTATTACAAACAGAAAGTATAACATGTGTACCTAAGTAAGATAAACAAATTATACTCAACTATGCTTCAAATCTACAATATTTGATTGTGAAATAGAAATCGAAACGAATTGACAAAGTAAAATTGTGAATCAAGAGGACAAGATCGCGATTTGGAAGCAACAACAGCGGCAACTAATAATGTATTTCAAGCGCTCGCGAAAAAAAGAAAAATAATTACTCAACATGATGAAGCGTACTCACCGTGCGTTGACGGAGGTAGGATTTCCAACGTCGTCCATGGACGGTTTCCTAGAATGAAACCACGAATGAAATTCGTTATTGTTCGCCTGCAGCTGCATTAGAGCGGGATGTTTATACGCGCTGCACAGATTAGGCGTTTGCCACATTCTGCTATACATTTGCGCGTCCATCGTTCGTTCACGGTTTCGTTCGTTTAGTCCAACCATTAAAATTACACCCGACTCGCCCACTGTTTCAAAGACAATCTTCCAGCCATCTCAAACAACCGAACTAAAATTCTATTCGAATTCACAGTTCACCGAATCCCTTCATATTCAGAATTCACATTCAACGAGAATATTATTCGAGGGAGAAGATCTCTCTTTTTCCCCAAACGTACAGCACCAACAGCAGGAAAATATTTTGTTTGTTCGAGTCGAAAATCAACAAAGAGATTGAATCATGAGAATTAAACTCCTCCCCTCTCTGTTGCTCGAAATTCTGTCAACTATCACGATCACCAAGAGAGAAACTGTGAAGGATGAAGCTCGTCCAGAGATTCGTGGACGAGTAAAACACGTGGTTCGACGCGTTCGCTGCCAACCCCCGGATGACGGAACAGAGTAGAGGGACAGAAAGGGTGGAACAAGAGTAGAACAAGAGTAACCGCGAGCAAGAGCAAGACTTTTGACAGGCGCAACAACACGCACGCGGTCTGAGGGCGTGTGCATAAGTGTCATCGAGTGGAGGCGCGTGTCGGTCTCATGCTCGTGCCACCCCCGTCAAACGTCGCCCCCACCAACCCGCTAACGCACGCTGCGCGCGCGACTTTCGCGCGCCACGCGCCTCCAACCCTCCGGCAGCGGCTATTTAACCCCCGGGACGAGTCTCCGCGGATAATCGAGGAACTGGTGCAGCCTCGCTGTTTAACCGCTTTCGCTGGCGGGCTGCATTGCGGACCGTAACGAGTGACCGAGCCGTGTGACAATAACACGTCGCTTTGATTGTCGGTGCGAGAATATAATAAATTTGTCATTTGTTTTGCCTGTACTTAAAACTGAGGAAATACTGCAGTTTTTGCGTGGCACGTCATTGACAATATAATAAATTCATTATTCTCAATATCGCGTGCGATATTGAGAATATAATAAATTTGTCATTTGTTTTGCCTATACTTAAAACTGAGGAAATATTGCAGTTTTTGCGTGGCACGTCATTGAGAATATAATGAATCGTCATTGAGAATATAATAAATTTGTCATTTGTTTTGCCTGTACTTAAAGCTGAGAAAATATTGCAGCTTTTGCGTGGCACGTCATTGAGAATATAATAAATTCATTATTCTCAATATCGCGTGCGATATTGATAATATAATAAATTTGTCATTTGTTTTGCCTATACTTAAAACTGAGGAAATATTGCAGTTTTTGCGTGGCACGTCATTGAGAATATAATAAATCGTCATTGAGAATATAATAAATTCATTATTCTCAATATTGCGTGCGATACTGTGAATATAATAAATTTGTCATTTGTTTTGCCTGTACTTAAAACTGAGAAAATATTGCAGTTTTTGCGTGGCACGTCATTGAGAATATAATAAATCGTCATTGAGAATATAATAAATTTGTCATTTGTTTTGCCTATACTTAAAACTGAGGAAATATTGCAGCTTTTGCGTGGCACATAATTGAGAATATAATGAATCGTCATTGAGAATATAATAAATTCATTATTCTCAATATCGCGTGCGATACTGTGAATAAAATAAATTTGTCATTTGTTTTGCCTGTACTTAAAACTGAGGAAATATTGCAGCTTTTGCGTGGCACGTCATTGAGAATATAATGAATCGTCATTGAGAATATAATAAATTCATTATTCTCAATATCGCGTGCGATACTGTGAATAAAATAAATTTGTCATTTGTTTTGCCTGTACTTAAAACTGAGAAAATATTGCAGTTTTTGCGTGGCACGTCATTGAGAATATAATGAATCGTCATTGAGAATATAATAAATTCATTATTCTCAATATCGCACGCGATATAATAAATTTGTCATTTGTTTTGCCTAGACTTAAAACTGAGGAAATATTGCAGTTTTTGCGTGGCACGTCATTGAGAATATAATGAATCGTCATTGAGAATATAATAAATTTGTCATTTGTTTTGCCTATACTTAAAACTGAGGAAATATTGCAGTTTTTGCGTGACACGTCATTCTAATTCACGAACCGTGGATGTCACGTGTGGTTTTGAGATGAGGGATGGTTTTTTTTTTGAAAGATTCTTCGGAGTGGGTTTCTTCTCGATTAAATTTCACTTGTTCACTTGATGCGCGAATGAATTTGCATCCTCTGAGTTTCAACTCGTGGAGGATGAGAAGGTACAGAGTTTTTAACTTTTTAGCTTAGAGGTGTAATTTCGTGGAGTTTCCACGTCACAGAGTATTTTTTTAAGTATCTTTATTTGTCTACATGCTATAAAAAACGATTTTGTTGGATTGTTGTGTGATTTTTTTACTATTACACAAACTAGAAATCAAATTAGATCATATATTCATAGTTCTGTTAACATCAATCTCTTGCAAATCAATCTCTTATATTTGCAAATTATTGAAATTTTTAATTCCAATTAATTGTGAAAGAAGACCACACAAATTTATTTTAAAAAAACCTTTTAATAATAATTATTATTCTGTTTCTATTTAATAATATTAACTCCACTCCTTAAACACCTGTTTGGTGATGTATACTGTTTATTGTTAGGTCAGGATGCGGATTTTATGCATTTTAAAATTTTTACGAACATACCTAAAGAAACAGAATCGAAAAACAATATATTTTACCTAGAATATATTAATATTTGCAACAATTTTCCATAAATACATAAATCGGTCGTACTACTGAAAAAAAAGTTACTCAAGTATGTGATTTGGGCATTTTAGGAATAATTTTCCGAATTAAAAGCTGAAATTGGCAATTGACATTTAGGAAATTGAGAATTTGAAGGCTCAGAGTTTAAATTTAAGAAGATTAACATCAATGTAAGTTTAAATTTAAGAGCATTATATTCCGTACGTTTTTTTCTTTTTCTGATGAAAGAAAAGATTTTCGAATATTATGTTCGTGTAGCAAGTAGACGGATGAACTAATCTGTGAGTAGAGGGGTTAGAACCCTTGGTCGCTCACACCCTAACGCGTCTCTATGGTTGCTCTTTTGTTCCAGGGTGCTTCTTTCGCTGCTCAAACACTCAAAACGTACTATTATACACATAATATATATAATATAATATATAATATAATATATAATATAATATTTAAGAAAGATTAAGTATTAAGAAAGTTCATTTTTGCTTTATGATTAACTAAACGTCAGAATTTTTTAGTTTCAATTCCTACAATTAATTAAAAGAACATTCCTCTTCGCGGAAAAATATTTTACAATTGGAAGAAAATTTTGGACATGTATAGTTTGAAATACAACCTCTATTATATTTCTACAGATATGTATGCATGTAACGAGAGAGAGAAAAATTTCGCAAAACGTCACAGTTGCCATATCTCGCGGCAGAAAGTTACGCGATCATGTTTTTTTGATCACGACACGCAAGAAGTCGGTGCTCTATCTTCATTTGCGTGAGATCAGAAGGGCTACCATGCCAATAAAACCGGCTATCTCGATGGTGGATTGTGTATCTGTGTCTATGCCGCAACGTCACCCCTCTTTCGACCCGAAACTTCCTCTCGAAGGGAGGATCACCTATTAAAACCCAATGGGATTATATTCTTAGAATGTATTGACGAAATTTATACAAACCGACGTCGCACCGATATGTACTTTTGTTCTTGTCTCTCCAATAAATAAAAAAGATACAGATCTAACTTAGATACGATAAGTCACAAAATGTCGTAAAGATACTAATCTTGCAAATTTATATCTCCATGAGCATAATTAAAGGAATAGAATTGAAATAGTGATCTGTTTCACTTTCCAAATGTATTTTATTGTAACTATAATTTGTTATAATGTACAATTGTTATTATTGATTTAGATTTTATTTTTAATTCTCAATTCATGTTTTTTCAAATATACAATGGTGTTATTACTCAAATTATTAGACAAAATATGTTAAATGTATTACTTGAATTTAATTTTTGTCGTAGATATAAAATTGCGAAATCAAGTAGCTCAATTTAATTACTACAACCCAAGACAAGAGTTGAAATAAAAAATTTAAAATTACATACAAATTATATAAAAATATATGAAATATCCAAAATAGAATAATCACCATAACACGTTTTACTCGGCAAGTAAAAAACAAATCTCTGTTCAGGTTTCATTTCTTTCAATTAAAACTTTATTAAAACATAAATTTGATCGAATGCCCTCCTTATATAATTTTAATACCAATTATAAATACTATCATATTGAACATCATGTATGTATGTATTACACAATACGTTTATCATTAATTCCTGCAATCATAACATAAAACTGGAAGAAGATCAATCAAGACAAAAACGTAAAATCTAGAATAAAAATCATCAAAATTTTGGATAATTTTTAATTTCTTAATTTAATTTAATTTGTTTTATTTTAATTTAATTTTATTTTAATTTAAATTTTATTTTATTTCATTCTATAATTTAATTTACTTTAAATTTCATTTTATTTTATTTTAATATAATTTATTTTAAATTTTATTTTAATTTAATTTACTTTAAATTTTATTTTAATTTAATTTAATTTATTTCAAATTTTATTTTAACTTCATTTAATTTACTTTAAATTTAATTTAATTTAATTTAATTTCTTTCAAATTTTTCACATAAAAGAAGGACCTACACGAGCGATTAAAATTTTTCTATGCACTCGTTGCGAGAGTGACTTGTCGATTGTTATGTTACGAGGTATAGGGAACTTTCACCGATCTAATAACGAAGCACAGCCGACCAACAACTCATTAGCAAACTCGCGATACTTTTCCTACGAAAGAAAAAGTGAAGCGTAGCCTGGTTACGCTAGATTTTATAACGCCTTAACCGGCAACCAGTCCGGCTGG